CGGCCTGCCATAGCACTTATGTTACATTGTATTTATTAATTATCCAAATCCCTTGCGGTAGCTTCTTACAAATCCAGATTCCTGTCCTCGTGCTAGCCATAAAGAATCAGAATGTCCCTGAAAATTTGGATGCACACTACTTTCAGGTTGCTGAACTGCTGATCTTTGCTCTATCGAGGATAGCCCCTTTGTCTTTTCACCTGGTCTGGTGTCCATGAACTCTTCAATGGGTTTATCATTTCATGACGTTTAGGTGCATTCCAAAATGTTAAAGATAGTACCTTCCTCAAGTAACTTGTTTTGAAATTTACATTGAAACCAACAACTTTTTAAAGGACTCCCACATCTGCGGTCACACTCTTCAAAGACACAAACACTGCTAGAGATCATGATTTACAGCTGAAGATGAGGTTTATTTCCAGAGCAGCAAAGTAACCCAAAACGGTCACAGGTGCGGGCCAGGGGAGAGCAGTGGGGCAAAATACCAAAGGTCTGGTCCTAGCTCTACTGTGAAGCTCTACAAACTTGGGTAAACATTTGTGCTCTTTGATCCTCATCCTGTTAAATTATAAACTGGCCTTACACTAATTCATCTTCCAGAGGGTTATTAAGATGATTAAATGAGCTATGGGTATGTATACTTTCGAAGGGCAGTAAAGCTTGCAGAAATGTTGTCTTTATTTGCGGGCAAACAGTAACCAATTTGAATTGTAAGTTTCAAATCTGCTCGGTCGAATCATAGAGGTTTCCAGCATGATCAAGGTGAGGCACAATAGTACAGTCTCATTAGCACACAGATGATTGGATTACAGTGTAGTGAGAGGAGAGAGGCAGCACAAATCACAGTATCAGGCAAAGGAAGGAGTGCCAACCAAGACTTGACAGAGAAGTCGGCTGAGCTTGTTCAAAGGCCCAGTGGTGAAACAGCAATGGTGTGCTTGAGGAAACTGCAAGAAGCTCAGGATGGAGTGGATAAAAGGGAAGTTAAACGAGTCCAGATGCTAAGGGTTCTCATACATAGGGTAGACCCTCTTGTGGAGGCTCTGAGGAATTCACCGAAGGATCTTAGGCATCCTAGTATCAGCTAATATTTGAGGATTCAGAGTTAGACAGTTCTGGCTTAGAGTCTTCATTCTACTCCAAGCTGTGGTTTTTGGCACAGGATAAATGAAATGACTGGTGGACCAGGATAGGGAAGCGGAATCAGGGACAGAGTGAAACTTGACATATGATAGACATGGCATAGCTGATAGTGGGGAAGTGTGTGCCATTCAATAAATGAGGGTGGTACAATTATTTTTTCATGGGAGGAAAAAAGCAATTAGATCACTACCTGAGAGCAAGCACAAAGATCAATTCAACACGATCAAAGACTAAAAAAATGCAAGATCACACCTTAAAACATCTATAAGAAAACATAGGAGAAAACTTTTATGACCTTAGGGTTCAGACAATTTTATCTGCAAAGGCCCAGGAGGCAAGGAAACAAATAGATGAATTGGACAACATCAAAATTTAAAACATTTGGGCATCAAAGGACATTCTCAACAAAGTGTTCAGGCAATCCATGGAATTGATAACAATGATTGCAAACAATCTCTCTGATAAGAGATTAAAATGCTGAACATATAAAGAGGTCCCGCAAATCAACCACAACCACCACCGCAACTACAGCAAAGGTCATCTGATTAAAAAATTGTCAAAGGACTGGAATGGACATTTCTCCAAAGAAAGTATACAAATGGCGATAAGCGCATGAAAAGAGGCTCAACATAACTAATAATTACTGAAATGCAAATCAAAACCACAAGGAGACAGCACTTCACACTCGTTTGGATGCCCATTATCAAGCAAACAAAATACAAAAACAAAACAAAGACCAAAAAACCCAGAATAACAAGTGTTGGCATGGATGTGGAGAAACAGGAACAATTCCCCATTGTTGGTAGGATTGGAAACTGGTACAGTTACTATGGAAAACAGTATGGAAGAACCTCAAAAACTAAGCAATAGAGCTACCATACAATCCATCAATTCCATGGCTAGGTATATACCCAAAAGACGTGAAAGAAGAGAATCAGATACAGAGTGTCAGAAAGATATTTGTGTACCTGTGCTCATACAGCACTTTCACAATAGATAAACGTGGAAACAAAGTGTCCATCCACAGGTGACTGGAACCCCCCCCCCCCAAAAAAAGTGGACTACATGGGGAAATCATCTCAGAGGTCAGCCCAGCCGCCGCCACCGCATGCTGCCCTTGGGGGCCTCGACCTGTCCTGTCCTGTCCTGTCCTGACGGAGCCCGGGAGGACTCTGGGCGGGACATCACCTCATAGGTCAGCCCAGCCGCCCCCATCCCATGAGCCCTCGGGGGCCTCGTCCTGTCCTGTCTTCTGTCCTGTTGGAGCCCCCAAGGACTCCGTGGGGCCATCACCTCAGATATCAGCTCAGTTGCCACAACTCCACACTGCCCACAGGGTCTTGTCCTGTCCTGTCCTGTCCTGTCCTGTCCTGACGGAGCCCCGGGGGATGCCTCGGAGACGTCACCTCAGAAGTCAGCCCAGCCGCCGCCACCCCACATTGCCCTCGGGGGCCTCGTCCTCGTCCTGTCCTGTCACAGGCCTCAAGGACTCCATGGGATCACCTCAGAGGTCAGCCAAGCAACTGCCGCCCCACACCCTGGTCCCCTCGTGGCTGAGTAGACGCCCCCGCCCACCTCCCATGGCCAGACAGTCACCAGACCCGCCTCCCCACCCGCCTGGCCTCCCTAAGGGTCCCTATGCCCCACCCTCATCTTCTGTCTCTCTGTCCCTCCCTCCATCCCTCTACCTGCACGGCGACCTCCACACCGAGTCCTCTGCGAAGCTCCTCTGAGGGCCTCGGGAGGGCAACGAACTGCCCAGCCGTGCCTGGGCAGGAGCGTCGCTGATTGGTTGGCTAGGTGCACGTGACGGGGGCGGGACCTTCGCCGAGACACGCCCCCTGGGGGGACGGCCCAGGACCTTGGCGTCGGCGCCAAGGGTGGAGGCCAGGGCTCGGGATTTCCCGTTCTACCGCCGAGGACGTTTCGCAGGCCATCTTCCTGGGAAATCACAAAAGGACACGGGAGTGGGCGACAGGTGCACCTTTCTGATGTGGGGGAATTTAACAATTCTTACTCCGTCTCCTCCCGGGGCCCTTTCCACCCACTGCTTCCGCTTGCAGAGGAATGGCCATCCTCCTGAGTGTTCTGTGTAAACCACCCCCCTCCCTTTTCTACCGCTTTTGGTTTTGTTTGGTTTTGTGGAAGACCCGTGTGTGTATCCTTGAATATCCTTGCTTCCTGGTGCGTTGCCTGGGTATTACAATAAACTGTATCGCGTTGTGCGTAGTATTCCGCCACATTCTTTCTCACCCAACATTGTGTCCTAACAGTGACTATACTATTCTGTGGAGCCACAGTGCTTTCGTTTTGCCTGTGGTAGCACACACCGTTGCGGAACCACTCCTCGGTTCGTTCATCCATTTTCCTGTCCATGGACACGTGGATACTTCCCACTTTAGAGCCCTAAAAAGCAGTGATACTAGAAATATTCCAATGCCTGGCATCCGTGCAATATGCTTTGCAGCGTCGGAAGGAGCCAAAGAGGTTAAAGCAGTTAGTGACCTATTCCTAGGTCAGAGGCTAGCTGAGTATTCAGTAGAGCAAAATTATTTCCAACGTATGTGACTCCACCAGCAGGTTGGGTTCTGATTGTTCCATATACGCACCAATACTGGGTATAATCAGATTACAATTGGCTGGGGAAGGGTGGTGGTGGGGGGAGGATGGGGATGGTGTCCGTGCTGGTGGCGTTTGCGGTGGCGGTGGCGGTGGTGGTGGTGGTGGCAATCCTCTTCAGCATTTCTCCCACACTAAGAAGAATGAGCTCTTTTTTATGCTCATTGGCCAATGCAATTTCCTTTCCCACCACATTTATCTATGTGGGTGTTATGACCTTTCTTCCACTGGGTAGGATGACTTGCTTACAGTTTTGTAGAGCTAGATATCAGTCTTTATAGCAGCGTTTCCCTCTGCCTTTTTATCGCAATAAAATAGAAACAATGCAAATTGTACCTGTTCAGCCATTTGTAGGTGTACAGCTCAGTGGCATTAAGTACATTCCCATTGTACAACCATCACTGCCATCCATCTCTCAACCTTTTTCATCTTTGCGGACTGAAACTCTGAACCCATGAAACACCTATTGCCCATTCCCTCCTCCTCCCACCCCCTGGCAACCACCACTTTACTCCCTTTCTCTATGAATTTGGGTACCTCATACGTACACCATTTGTCCTTCTGTGACTAGCATATTTCACTGAGCATAATGTCTTTTTTTTAATATATATATATATGAAATTTATTGTCAAATTGGTTTCCATACAACACCCAGTGCTCATCCCAAAAGGTGCCAAATGGTGCTGGGAGAACTGGACAGCAACATGCAGAAGGTTGAAACTAGACCACTTTCTCACACCATTCACAAAAATAAACTCAAAATGGAGAAAGGACCTGAATGTGAGACAGGAAACCATCAAAACCTTAGAGGAGAAAGCAGGAAAAGACCTCTCTGACCTCAGCCGTAGCAATCTCTTACTCGACACATCCCCAAAGGCAAGGGAATTAAAAGCAAAAGTGAATTACTGGGACCTTATGAAGATAAAAAGCTTCTGCACAGCAAAGGAAACAACCAACAAAACTAAAAGGCAACCAACGGAATGGGAGCATAATGTCTTAATTCCCCCACATCGGGAAGGTGGAGGCTTGTGCACCTGTCGCCCACTCCGGTGTCCTTTTGTGATTTCCCAGGAAGATGGCCTGCGAAACGTCCTCGGCGGTAGAACGGGAAATCCCGAGCCCTGGCCTCCACCCTTGGCGCCGACGCCAAGGTCCTGGGCCGTCCCCCCAGGGGGCGTGTCTCGGCGAGGGTCCCGCCCCCGTCACGTGCACCTAGCCAACCAATCAGCGACGCTCCTGCCCAGGCACGGCTGGCTAGCTCGTCGCCATTGCGAGGCCCTCAGAGGAGCTTCGCAGAGGACTCGGTGTGGAGGTCGCTGTGCCTGTGGAGGGGTGGAGGGAGGGACAGAAAGACAGAGGATGAGGGTGGGGCATAGGGAAGACCCTCAGGGAGGCCAGGCGGGTGGGGAGGCGGGCCCGGTAGTCCTATCTTGCCATGGGAGGTGGCGGGGGGGGGGGGTGCCTTATCAGCCATGAGGGGACCAGGGTGTGGGGCGGCAGCGGCTTGGCTGACCTCTGTGGTGATGTCCCCATGGCGTCCACTGGACCTGTGACAGGACAGGACAGGACAGTAGAAGACAGGACGAGGCCCCCAAGGGTCCTGCGGGGTGGCATCAGCTGGGCTGACCTCTGGGGTGATGTCTCTACGGAGACCTCTGGGATGTGAGAGGCCACGACAGGACAGGACAGGTCGAGGCCACCGAGGGCAATGTGGGATGGTGGCGGCTGGACTGACCTCTGAGGTGATGTCTCCGTGGACTCCTCTGTGGCTCTGACAGGACAGGACAGGACAGGACAGGAGAGGACAGGATAGGATGAGACCCCAAGGACAGTGGGGTGGTGGTAGCTGGGCTGACCTCTGAGTTGGTGTCCCCACGGAGTCCTCTGGGGCTCCACAGGACATGATAGGACAGGAGGGGAAGGCATGAGAACGAGGCCCCTGAGGTCAGTGTGGGGTGGCAGGGGCTGGGCTGGCCTCTCAGGTGATGTCCCCACGGAGTCCTCTGGCATTCCAACAAGACAGGACAGGACAAGATGAGTATAAGGCCCCAGAGGGCACTGTGGGATGGCTGTGTCTGGGCTGACCTCTGAGTTGGTTTCCCCACGGAGTCCTCCGGTCTCCGACAGGACATGACAGGACAGGAAGAGGACGAAGCCCCTGAGGGCAGGGTGGGGTGGCGGTGGCTGGGCTGACCTCTGAGGTGATGTCTCCAGGGAGTCCTCTGGTCTCTGACAGGACATGACAGGATAGGGGGAGGATGAGGCCCCCGAGGGCAGTGTGGCACGGTGGTGGTGCCTGGGCTGACCTCTGAGTTGGTGTCCCCACGGAGTCCTCGGGGCTCCAAGAGAACAGCACAGGGCAGGACGAGACCCTGAGGGCAGTGGGGTGGCGGTGGCTGGGCTGACCTCTGAAGTGATGTCCCCACGGAGTCCTCCGGGGTTCCCAGGGAACAGGACAGGATAGGACAGGTTGAGACCCCGAGGGCAGTGGGTGGTGGTGGCTGGGCTGACCTCTGAGGTGATGTCCACGGAGTCCTCCAGGGGGCCAAGAGAACAGGGCAGGGCAGGACGAGACCCCGAAGGCATGTGGCATGGTGGTGCCTGGGCTGAATTCTGAGGGGTGTCCCCTTGGAGTCCTCCGGGGCTCCAAGAGAACAGGACAGGACAGGTTGAGAACCCGAGGGCAGTGGGGTGGTGGTGGCTGGGCCGACCTCTGAGGTGATGTCCCCACGGAGTCCTTCAGGGCTCCGATAGGACAGAACAGGACAGGTCAAGGTCCCTGAGAGCAGTGTATAGAGGTGGCAGCTCTATGGACCTCTGCATGATATCCCCACAGATATCCCACCGGGACTCCCACTGGACAGGACAGGACAGGACATGGCCCGCGAGAGCAGTGAGTGGAGGCGGCAGCTGAGCTGACCTCTGCGGTGATGTTCCCATGGAGTCCTTTGGGTCTCCGATGATAGGACAGGACAGGACAAGACAAGGCCCCCGAGGGCAGTGCATGGTGGCAGCGGCTGTACTCACCTCTATGTTGATGTCCCCACGGAGTCCTACGGGAATCCGACAGGACAGTACAGGACGAGAACAGGTTAGGATAGGACGAGGACAAGGCCCCCACAGACAGTGGGGGGTGGCGGCAGCTGAGCTGACCTCTGAAGTGATGTCCCCACGGATTCCTCCGGGGCTCCGACAGGACACGACAGGACAGGACAAGGACAGGACAGGATGAGGCTCTCGAGGGCAGGGCTGGAAGGGTCTGCAGGATGGGAAGCGAGCCCGACGTTCCCCTCTTCAGGACAGGGCCACACCTGGTGAGGAGGCAGCATCTGCGTCTGTCCCTCCTGCCCAGCCGGTCGCCCTGCAGGACTGCTTGGTTGTCCTGGGGTCCAGATGGCATGTCGAGGAGACCCCTGACCTGACTGTCCCCGGACAGGTGCAGAACGGTTTCTTCCCCATCCATTTGGAGGGGACACTTCTTTTGGTCACGGCCAAGTTTAGGCCTCCAGACCAGCACGTTGTCCCTTGGGGACCGAGAGCAGGGGACAGCCGCTGTGCCAACATAGGGGCAAGAATCTGGCAGAGGGTCCTGACACTCAGGTGTCCTGGGGCAGGTCGCAGCCAGGGAGAGGGGGTCACAGCCACGGGGGGCAGGGGTCTGCTGTCACCATTGTCTTTGTCCCCTCCTGGCCCAACGAGAGACAACGAGGGCGCTCATGCTCTGATCTGCGCAGAGGACCCTTGCCTGGCATCGCTCATTGACCATGTCCCCATTTCTTTCACGCGTGTTTGCACTCACAAGGTGCAGGACAGCTGTCTGTACCTGGGAAGACACCTTGGGATGGCGCCACCTCGGAGGAAGCGCCTGAGGAGAGCTGCGAAGGCCCCGGTGGAGGCTCCGGGTATGGCAGCCAATGACTTTTGGGGACAAGAGAGAAGAGACCTGAGTGGGCCGGAGGCTGTTCCTGAAGGTACACTCTATCTGACACCTTTGCAGATGCAGCGCCTGTAGATACCACCCGCGGGGCAGGCCGCTGCTTCTGAGTCCTTGGCATTGTAAGCAGTAAAACACGTGTGTGTGTGTGTGTGTGTGTGTGTGTGTGTGTGTGTGTGTGTGTAAAGCGGTTTCATGTACCGGACGTTGCCCACTCGATCCTCCCATCCCAGACCAGGATTACAGAAGCGTAGATAGCAGCACTTCTGCTCGCTCGCAGTTGCTCTTTCCAGAATGTCTCACACGTGCCAGGTGGTGTAGTCTGACCTTAACCCTGAAAGGTTTGCAACACCGTCTCCAGAGCATGGTCCTCGTCCCCCATCCAGTTTCATCTGACCTTGTGCATACATGGTTCCTTCCTTTCATATGTCTGCCGTAAAGACTTTTGCTTGCAAGAGGCCTAAAAAACTCCACACGGCGAGGCTACCGCCCCCTGAAAACTGATCAGAATACCATACTTCCTTTTAAAATGCTTTCCACTTTTATTTCAATGCAGGAAACAATCCAGTACCGGATAAGCCCGGGGAGAGCAGTCCTTCTGCAGGAACATTTGAGGACGATGTGGGGTAATGTCTTCATAGTGTTATCACCTGCCAGCTCTAGGCAACATGGCTCATACAATTATTCTCCATAAAATCCTAGAATGACACATTTCCTCCAAAGCAAATATGATCTTTGCTTATCCTTACTCAATAATGTTCCATGTAACTTCTTCACAGGAATGAAGTACAGAAGATGCTGGAAAGGCTTGGAGGTATGCTTAAGTGATATTTGCAGTCAAAACAATTGTTTAATCCATACAACTTTTATAAATGGGAATGTTAGTGAGTGGATTCCAAGACTGGTTTTAATGCCGTGTTCTAGTATAGAGCACTTTATACCAGTATTTATAGTGTGATTCAACTTTGTAAGTTTCTTTACTGACCTTTTGAACTGTTGATGTGGAAAACTGAAAACGGTACTAACAGTCGTGAGGTAAGAATGATGCCATTATTTTATGCACGTGTACCCTTAATGTACTGTGTAAGACTGTGTGAGAAAAGTTTATACTGCCTTTTCTGTGCACAGCTTAGGTGATGTATCAACGTGTATTGCCAATTTTAAATTTTCTTAATTTCGCTACCTTTCATAACTTTCCAGTGTGCTTCTCTTTGGAGTAGCAGCACAAATCGAATCCTCTAATATAACTCTTTATTTTTATTTTTCATTAACAAACTGTGTAGTTGCAAAGTAAATAACTCTGCTAGCTAGTGAGAAGTGTCTAATCATATCCACACTCCTAAATTTTATGTTGTTCTGTCAGATGTCACTTACACCATCTGCACTATAGGACAGTACACTTAGCAGAGTCTGAGTCAATATATGGCTCTCCATAGAGATCATCCTTACAAGCAAGTATCTTTTGAAGGCTTTGCTCTATTTGGTGGCGACAAAGTGCTTGCTTTGTGAGCTGTCTAATAAACTTCTTATTATAGATGGATTCTGGGTGTATAAAATATGTTTATTGTAGTGCAGATCCTTCATGACTACTGAAAAATAACTATGGACTGTAGATCCATAAAGTCAAATCATATGCTCTGCAAAGCGTTATTTGAAGTATTCAGATTCTGTGAAATGCAGCACTTATGGATGAAAGTGTTATATAAAAAGCTCCATGAAAATATTTTTTTAAATGTTTTTGAATTCATTTATTTAAACTAGAATTTTACACCCACGACCTTTGTCTCTGTTAGTAAAATGCAGTTAAAAGCATCACTCACTAGATTGCTTGAAAAATAATTTTTTAATGTGCGATATAATTATTTTTATCCTTTTTGAGGGTCATTTTTAAGAAAATACTTTCGTGCTTTTTATAAAATGCATTCTAATGGTAACCCATCTAAATGTATCCCTTGAGATGGAGGACATTTACCCATGTAAACGTGTCCCTTGAGTTGGAGGATATTTTATAAGTTTAGAAAAATGTGCCTGTTAGCAAATTTTCAGAAGGAAATTAAAGTCTGTCTTTGAGATTCTTTATACACATTTTGATAATGAAAAATATATTTATTATTAAGCCCTTTTCATTATCTCTAAACTAAAAGGTGACCTGCAGTTAGAAAAATTAGAATTGGGATACTAGCACTGGAAAGATTTTACAGAAAATAGTGAGCAAATCTTGCTTTTTGAAATGATGCCTGAATTATAAATTTTATTTTACTTACTTTGCTTTTTGAAGTGTAATTGACATACGACATTATATTAGTTCCAGGTATACAACATAGCGATTGGACATTTATGATGTCTGTATGATAAATTGTAAATGTACTTTGCACATCGCCAAGGCAACATTTACCCGTACTGATTTGAATATATGAAAACGAAATAACTTTCAACATTTAAATTTCAGTGAATATCTATTTTCCATACAGTTGACATTAAACAGGCTCTTCTCACAAAGAGAAAAATGTTCGAAATGGGTACAAAAGCTTCTATCAAAGCCACTAACGAAACAATTGAGCATGTTTGGAAACTACAACAAGAACAAAGGTGAAGTTGTTGGAGTGTTTTTGTTTTTGTTTTTGTTTTTGAGTCACGATGACATTTGTATCATTTCTTTGTATTCATGGGCGCAAATAACCTAAGACAAATTCTATTATATTGAATTTTCCAGCGAAAAACATATTTTGCTTGTTTTTTTTCTAAGCAGATAAATTCCTTAGTTCTGTAACCTCACTCCTTAACAGATTCTGAGATGTATTTCCTAGAAGCCAATAGAGATGACCTTTCTTCCCTTTCAAATAACAATTGAGTTTTCTTCCTATAACATTAATTTATATTCATTCTAGACCTACACTAGCTGAACTTCAGGTAAATGTCTTAAACCATTATTCTTGTGATAGTTAACTGTATTCAGTTATGTAGAAAAGGTTAATCTTATATTGTAAATAATTTGCATATTTTAGGTAAATTGTGTTCACCGTTCTTTAAAAAAAAAAAAAATTGTTCGGGGGATATATTTAAGTGAAATATTCCTGTTTGGAAATCTTCTGTGATAAATGGATATAATATCCTCATTGAATGAATCTACTTATCATATCAGAACATATATGCTATTCAGTAAGAAGAAATGAAAAGTAAACTGCTTTTAGATAAAATGAATTTTTCTGGAAAACTGATAGTACAGTAAATCCTCATTAGCTTTTAAGAGGTAAGGCATGTGAGATAGCTTTTATGTTGGTCAGTTAGGAACAATACTTTTGGAATAAGAGTAAATTGTTCATGTCACCTTTCTGCTTCCCATGAGACTGCTATTTCAGCTGCTGTTATGCTATTACTGCCTTCTCCTTTTGTAGTGTAAATTGTGTCAAATCAATTTTGTTTTGAATATGGTTAATTCTTTCATGTCTTTATGAATTATGACAGTGCTCATTATTATGTTTTACAGGCAGAATCTTCATCTCAAATATTCTCAGCAGTTTCTGACTTTGTTTCAGGAGTGGAATGTAGACATGCAGAAAGCCCAGAAACAACAAGAAAAACTAGCCGTTGGTATCAGCTTTGGCTTTAAAATTGATTGATTTATTGTATCAAAGTCTCAAGTAGCAATAGGTCATGCAAAAACATAGGAGAGAATGTAGGGACCATGAGCCCAGATGGGTAAAGGTGGGTAGAAGATGTAGCGGTGGGAGACTGAATGTCCTCTCTGAATTGCTTCTGTCTATTTAGGGATACAGGAAGGTCACCAGTTAAGAGTTAGAGTGGTGGAGGAGGTGTTGCCTCTCGGGAGCAGAGAAGAAGTCCTGGAATTGTTTCCTGAGAGCAGGCCAGTGAATGGACTAGGGAAATGCCATTGCCAAGCAGCATTGTGGGTCTAACTTAGGTTGGTGTCATAGTGACCATGAATTTAAAGTGAGACCACATTGCATGGTTGTGGCAGAGCAGCTGGAGAGTTGGATTTTCCAGGGTTGGGGTTTAGCCATGCAAATTGGCGGAGTGAAAAGGGGGTAAGGTACATGTGCGAGGGCATAGGTATAATGATTGACCATGGCATTTAGGCCAGGAAGGAGGAAAAGGAAGAATATGAGGGTGGGGATCAGGGGCAATGAAAAGTCATAGGATCCATGGGATGTTAATCCTGAAAGAGTGTTGGACTATAGTGAGAAAGGGAGAGAACTACAAACAGGGAGGTAGAAGTTGAATATTGGGGGAAAAAATGGAGAACCAGTATAGTACAGTGGTCCAGAGCCTGGACTCTGGAACCAGTTTTTGGGATCCAATCCTGGTTGACCGGTACTAGCTGTGAAATCAGCGGCAAATTGTTTATCCCTGTGCCTCACCCAGGTTCCTCACCTATTATGGAAGGAGACATAACAAAAGCACCTGCCTCGTAGAGTTGTTTTGAGGATTAAATGAGATCATATATAATGTTTATTTAAAATGGTTCAGAACAGTACCTGGCACACAGCTCCTATATAAGTTTTTGCTCTTATTAATATAATGTAGATGTTGCAGTTATTGGGAATGACAGAATCCAGGGTGTGACTATGTAAGTGAGTGACTGAAGTAGGGAAGAGGACAAAATTGTTGTTGGAGATCAGGTCAAGGAGCGGAAAGGCTGGGATCATCTGTGTACATACTGAAATGACCAAGAATTAATACATGTTTTGAACGTTGTTAAGAAAAGAATATCCCCTCTGTAACTACTGTTAGGAAGGATCAGTGTATAGATTTTTGACTGCTTGTAGTAAACACATTCTCGGAAGGGTCATTTGTGGGTTTTGAAATCAAGAGTTAAAACCTGTTTTCCATATTGGCAAGAAAAAAAATTTCCTACTTAATGACTACTAGGTAGGATCATCGTATTGTTTTTGTGTATTAGTGGTGAACACAGTTATCTAAACTCGGTCATAAAGGTTGTTACAACAGGAAATGTTAACAAGTATTGATTTAAAGAATATTCCTTTTAAACATGATGTATAATTATGTTTCTCTAAATATTAAATGTCACCCACATTTTATCATCCTTTTCTTTTATATTTGTAGAGTATGTTTCAAGAGCAACGAAAGGTTCTTCAACAAGCTAGAGTTGTTCAGAATCAGAGACTGCAAAAAATTAAAAATTTATATGTGCAATTCTTAGAGGTATTTGGCAACATAATACATTCTTATAAAACATAACATGTGTACAAAAGTAGGAGATAGTTTGTTTCTTTCTGAATCTACGTGGGGGAAAAAAACCCAGTTAGGTTGTACATCTGAACCGTTAACCATTTTCCATTTGGAGTTCATAGCTCTGTATTTAACATAATTGGTAAATGTGTTTTGATTTTGGGGATTAATTAATACTTTTGTGGGAGTCATTTAAAACAGGGAACTGTAAGCTGGGGATTTTACCTAGAAATACATGTATCGTGTAGAAAAGTGGTACTTTATCAACACTTTAATCATAATTTTTTGTGCAACAATCAGTTCGGAGGAGATCAGCAATAAATATATAGTGGAAACTAAGAAGTCTATAAATCACTTCTACGTGCCTTTTACTTGTATTGACGGTTTCTGTTAAATATGAGTAGGCAGTGGTAATTGATGAATACTGCTTTTATTTCCAAATGCGTTACATGAGTGTTTTGTGGCATAGTTGCTTTTGGAATATTAATGACTAATAATGACTTTATATGCAAACTTAAAATCATAAGAGAAGGTCTAAATACAATATAACAGAATGAAAAAGCCAGAGGAGGACCAAACGTTTGTGAATTGAGAATGATCTGCTGTGATATTTGCACATTGACCAACTGTCCTCAGTGACACAGACCTCTTCTTCATGCAGATATATACTTATTTAGGAGGCAGTAGAATCCTGCACATTCCTCCTCTTTTTTCTTGGTGTGTGTTGGGCGGAGGGGAGGTGTCCTTTACCTCTGCAACGGTACCTTAGTATCTTTCTTCGAATTCCAACTGCTGCTCCCTAGTTCAGGATCTCATCATTCCTTGCTTATGCTACTAAACCCTCATCTGAGTTCTCTTCTCCAGTCCATCCCTCACCATTCTGCAATATGATCTTCCAAAGCATAGACCTTCCCTCCTGAGAACCTGTCGTTAGCTTCCCATTTTAGGCCCTCAGGTATTCAAAGTCTGTGCCCCGCTTCCCCCATAACAAGGCTCCCTTTGTAGTTTTATACTTAACGTTCGTTCTTTCCTCCCACCCCTCCAGATTGGTTGCTTTCTCTGAACTAACGCACCATTACTTCCTTGTTTCTAGAATACTTTCAATTGCCTCTTCCGTTTACCTACCGAAATCTTACTCTTTTGCCAACTAAATCAGAATCAATCTTATTTTCCACTACATAGTCACGGCAAGTTGTGTTGCCTTAATTGTTATAAAGTTTTTGTGTTGTTTTTATTTACATGTTTTTTTTGTTGTTGTTCTCACTGGAATAAGGAAGGAAGAGATCGTGTATTCATTTTTAAATTCCTCCACAGCACTTTTTATGTAGGCTGCAGTAGATCACTATTTGTTGGGTGAATAGTAAAGATTTAGAACATGTTTGTTTTTCATAACTTAAAGAGGTCGTGTCACAGATCATTTTATTCCCTCCAGTGGAATCATGTTACATTGATTATGAGTCATTATAAATGCACTGTTACATGGTGTCTAGAAAGCTTATTAGAGAGTTTTAAAATGATGGCATCTCATTCAGTGGGACTGTCAGTCTTTTTCTTTTTTTCCCTCCACCTTGACCTTAACTGTTTATTAACCCATTGTTTTGAGCCTACTACTGTTGTGCCTCTATACTAATAATATTTGACTCAAACACAACATTTAAAAAATTTCTTAGGTGGGTATTTTGGTCTCCATGTATTAGGTATAATATCTTACTTGGAATAAATAACGGGCATCCTTTGCATATTAAGAGATGTTAGTTTTGAAATTTGCTTTTACATGTTTAGTGCGTGAGATGAAAAGTGGTGGTTTATAACTAAACTAGGCTTTTTGTTTTAGAGTATGCAGGACTTAGAGAAGGACCATGAACATCTTCTTACTGATGAACAAAGTGAAGTTAGAGAATAAATGACCAAGTTGCAAAACAAAATTATGATGGAAGTTGTAAGTACTTAGTGCATATTTAATATTAAGAACTAACGAGGGATGTGAGCATTGGGGTATTTTGTTTGCTGAAGTGTATATAACAATGACCTAAATAGCATGTAAATGTTTAATATTTCCTTCCTTGAAACAGCAACAGCAAGAGCTGGCAATTGTTCAAAAGTCTCTTCAATCCCTGTTATTCTGATGACTTTGAAGAAAGAACTTGAACCTAAGTGCGATGATAGAAGCATAACATTAGCTACACTGAACCACATTGCGGTAGTTTAAAAATTGTAGTTGAAATCAGTACATCTTGTTTACCATTGTTTACCATAGCTTGCTTGTTTAGTGCAAGAATCTTTTCCTGCTAAAACCCCAAGCCCCAAACAGTTACGTGGGTAGCAGCAATTCCACAATTATATGTATTAAGCTTTCAGCCCTTCGTTAGTAATGATGACTTTGTGTACTTAACACTGTTAATTAACTTTTAGCAACAGGATGATTTAATTTGAGGCTTGGCCTCCGTGGATCTGTATCAGTCCCAAAAGGTTCAGAGCACACGTACAGAAAGAAGGTTACTTTGCTTTTCCTAAAGGAAAAATAAAATTAAAGGGTATAAAATCTATCTTACCCATGTGCCCGCTTGTATTTTACTCATTAGTTTACAGAGCCAATTCTAATAAAAAAATATGATTTCAGAAAATCTACTCTACTGCCTTATAAAAATTATTAAAAGCAAACATAAGATTGTGGGGTTTTTTGGGAATAAATTAAGCTGCCTAAAATCATTGGGGGCACAGAACTAGATACATAAGTGTCAGTGCTGAGACATGGGTTTGTGAAAATGTCGTTTCCACAAAGACACCAAAATGTCATTTAATTGGTGTTGGTTCACTATTAAATGACACTTGCCCTTAGCATTGATTGAAAGTATTTCATTAATATGTACATATACCTAATGACTTATGGTTTAAGTATTTCACATCTCTCTTTAAAGATAAATTACCTATAGTGCCTTGTTTTCAAGTTTAATGTTCATTGAGTGTGTGGAACGTTGATTTTATATTTGAGAACTAACAACTTGAATAATTAATTCTTATACCTTTCTTTTTGTAATGGGCATTTTCTTTTTACATTTAATAACATAACACCATCTTCGTTTGGGCATGTTATTTAATAAACATGACATTGTTTCAGAATATATTTGGAATAAGTCAGTTAAATGTGTTTTTTTCTCAGTTCCTGAAGTTGCTTTCATGAATCATTCAAAATAAAGCATTTCCATTCGGAGGAGAGGATTTATTTTCTCCTGTCTTTCTGCATTTTTTAAACCTGGGGCGCCTGGGTGGCGCAGTCAGTTAAGCGTCCGACTTCAGCCAGGTCACGATCTCGCGGTCCGTGGGTTCGAGCCCCGCGTCGGGCTCTGGGCTGATGGCTCAGAGCCTGGAGCCTGTTTCCGATTCTGTGTCTCCCTCTCTCTCTGCCCCTCCCCCGTTCATGCTCTGTCTCTCTCTGTCCCAAAAATAAATAAACGTTGAAAAAAAAATTAAATATATGAAAATGTTACTTACTCCTAGTAAGAAAAACATGTTCAGACCTTCCAATATCATAAAGTTTTTTTTTTTTTTCCCTGGAACTAGACAAGTTGGTTTTGCAGTCCATTTAGGGGGGGAAGATTAATACAGATGGACAGGGAAATCTTAAAAAAAAAGAAAGTTTACCTATTTATTTTGAGAGGGGGTTCAGAGAGAGAAGGAGAGTGAGAATCCCAAGCAGGCTCCATGCCCAGCTCAGAGCCCAACTCGGGACTCGATCTCAGCACCGTGAGATCATGACCCAAGCCAAAATCAAGAGTCGGTCGCTCAACTGACTGAACCACTCAGGTGCCCTGACAGGAAAATCTTGAAAAGGAATAAATAGAAACAAGGGGAGCCATTCCTACAGAGATTATTCCTCATTTATCAGACTGGAAAAATAATTGTCAACATTGATCATTAGCTTTATAGCCTGCCAAGGCCTAGAAGCAATGATTCAGTTGCAGTGAGTAACTTAGAGTCTATTTTATGATCTTGAACACAAACAAGAGCTCCTTGGAGAAATAGCTGGTTCCAGATACGGGGTGGAATATAAATAATATAAGCCTGTAAAATCTTGGGAGGAAAAAATATATATATAAGCCTGGAACATCTTATAATATCCGAAAGTCAGGATGTGTGTTGAGGTTATGTCAAAAGGACACAGGAGGTGGGACACAGGGGTTCCTAATGGGCAAATGCAGAAATATCTGAGCATCAAAGGAATAATAAATGCAATGGTTTGAATCACAAATATATTGACACTCATGAGTTCATTATAATACTAAAAAAAAAAAAAATCCACAAATAACCCTTGCTCACTCTAAGTGATTGGAGCTAGCTCAGTCACCATCCCATCACTCTGAAAGGGATAGAACAAAGCATTAATTCTAGCTTTCTTATATGAACCATAATTTTAGGAAAATCAAATATTTACAAAGTTATGCCTTATGGTATAATTCCAGACAGTAAATGCAACCAAAAAACCCATGAAGAGTGTGTGTGTGTGTGTGTGTGTGTGTGTGTGTGCGTGTGTGTGTGCATGTGTGTGTGGAGGGGGGAATCACCATTTTGCAACACCTAATGAATTAATGGATCTACGCAATAACCCTCACTGGCTGCTAAATCCATGATGTGGAGGTTGATATGTCTGATGAACATACACCATGATTTTCCTGGGACAAGTCCTGGTTTACATTGGTTGTTCTATCATCATTACTAATACTACACCTTACTTTACCCCCTCTACAAAATAGTCTCCATTTGGATGACATATAATCAACCTACTGATAGGGAACTTTGTAATGAACAAGGAGGGCTCAAAACACCTGGACCCGCTGGTCAATCTTAACATCACAATCAAAAAGAGACACAGAGACATTAAGTATCTCCTATTGGGCTGCAGATGCAGTAGGAAGTACAAAGCACCATCTCTGACATATTTTTGCCATGGAGCCAAACCTGAATCTGATGATGAAGCCTCAAGTTCTGTCAGTTCAGGGTACATGCTAGTGACAGAAGAATATGTTGAGAAACACAGCAGGGGTGTGATCTGCCAGATCCAGGATTTCCAAAATTCAATGACACAATGACCTAGTCTCTTCCACACACACAAAAAAAAAAAAAAAAAAAAAAAAAAAAGATAAGATAAAGGAAAAGCAAGAGATGATATGTATTAAAGGAAATTTATGAAACATATTAAAGAAATGCAGTCTGGACATCCTGTTTGAATTCTGATGTAAACGAGCCCATGGTAAAAGGACACTTATGAAATTAATTGGAGAAATATGGTGACTAGATATCAGATAACATTAATGAATTTGTTACTGTGTATATTGATAGTATTTTTATTTTGTAGTGTGGGTTATGAATAAAAACATACCTAGGATTTGCTTTAAAATAATTGAGTGGAGACAGGAGCAGTAGCAGAGTTGGAGAGCGTAATATATGTGAAACAGAATGAACTGTATTTTGATAATTGTTGAAACTGGCTGACGAACATGTGAAGATTGTTATACTGTTGTATCACTTAGGTGCATGTTTGACACGTTCTAAAAACACTCCTAGGGGCGCCTGGGTGGCTCAGTTGGTTAAGCGTCTGACTTCAGCTCAGGTCACGATCTCACCGTTTGTGAGTGTGAGCTCCGTATTGGGCTCTGTGCTGACAGCTCAGAGCCTGGAGCCTGCTTCAGATTGTGTGTCTCCCTCTCTCTCTGCCCCTCCCCCACTCTCTCTCTCTCTCTCTCTCTCTCTCTCTCTCTCTCAAAAATAATAAACATTTAAAAAAATTTAAAAACACTCCCAATACCCTTATTCGATATACTCAAAACCTCAGAAAACCTCTCAGGCCTTCCCTGATCTTTTTGGCCATATGATGTACTGGGGACCATATGGGCTTTGGAGCCAGACAAACTTAGACTCAAATACTGGGTGATCTGGAACATACTACTCAACACCAACTTTGGTGATCCTCAGTGCCTGGTTTTGTAAGATAAGGATGACTTACTCCATCCCTGTTGCAGAATTTTTTATTTGAGTTTAGTTGATACACAATGTTATATTAGTTTCAGATAACACAACACAATGATTCAACTTCTCAATATGTTATGCTATACTCACTAGAAGTGCAGCCACCATCTGTCACCATACAGTGCTATTACAATATCATTGCTATATTGCCTATGCTGTGCCTTTTATTCCTGTGACTTATTGGTTCCATAACTAGAAGTCTGTATCTCCCATTCCTCTTCATCCATTTTGTCCATCTCTTCACCCCTTCCCCTCTGGCAACCATTAGTTTGTTCTCTGTATTTATGTGTCTGATTATGCTTTTTAAAAATTGTTTATTCATTTGTTTTGTTTTTTAGATTCTACATATGAGCAAAATCATATGATATTTTTCTTTCTCAGTCTCAGGTCACGTAGCATAATACCCTCCACATAGATCCATGTTGTTGCAAATGGCACAAACTCACCCTTTTTTATGGCTGTGTAATACTCTACTGTGTGTGTGTCTGTGTGTGTGTGTGTTCAAGCCCACGCATACATTCCACATCTTTCTTATCTATTTGTCTATCAATGGACACTTAGGTTCTTCCATATCTTGGCTATTGTAAATAATGTTTCAATGAACATAGGGGTGTACATATCTTTTCAAATTAGTGTTTTCATTGTCTTAAGGTAAATACACAGAAGTATAATTCCTGGATCATTCACTGGTTCTCCATGTAATTTTTTGAGGGACCTCTATACTGTTTTCCACAGTGGCTTCACCAGTTTGCATTCCCATCAACAGTACATGATGCCACTTGTCTCTTCACATCCTCACCAACAATTGTTACTTCTTGTATTTTTAATTTAATTTTTATTTTTTAAATGTTTATTTATTTTGCAAGAGAAAGTATGAGTGGAGGAGGGGCAAAAGAGAGGGAGAGAGAGAATCCCAAGCAGGCTCTGTGCTATCTGTGCAGAGCCTGACACAGGGCTTGATCTCATGAACCACGAGATCATGACCTGAGCTGAGCCAGACGTTTAACTGACTGAGCCACCCAGGAGCCCCATCTTGTATTTTTTATTTTAGCCATTCTGACAGGTGTAAGGTTGTATCTCATTGTGGGTTTGATTTGCATTTCATTGATGATTAGTGATGTTGGCCATCTTTTCATGTGTCTGTTGGCCACCTGCATATTATTAAATGATTTATTTTAATGAATTTGCTCCCATGATTATGGGAGATGGTAAGTTGAAATCTGTAGGGCAAGCTGGCTAGTGAGAAATTCAGGGAAAAATTGACCATGCAGTCTTGAATCTTAAATATATATGGTAGCCTGGCCATCTAGAAACTGAAATGGGTGTTGATGTTGTAGTCATGAGGAAGAAACATATAGCACATGCTGGCAGTATGGAAACGCAGAGAGACTCCATGTTAAAGTCAGGCAGTATTCCTTCCTTCCTCAGAAACCTTACTTTTTGGCCTTACACATTCTTGAGGGTAATCTCCTTTAATTAAAGCCATACACAATCCATCACAGCAACATCTATATGAGCGTTTCACTTAACATCCAAGCACTATAGCAATCCTGTGTGGAATACAAAGATAGAAGATCAGGCATTCCTTACATCCTCAGATGGTAGTTTTTGAAGAAGCACTGGGGGCAAAGAAGATATAACTGTATCCAAAGTAAGTGTCCATTACAGTAAAAACAACACTGCCCCTTCCAATCTGAAAGTGTCCCAATGTAATCAACCTGCCACTAGGTCGATCACCTGGAAGATGGTGCCATATTAATGACTCAGTTTTGATCTCTGATGCTGGCAGATTGAACATCCAACAGTGCCCATAGCCAGGGGAGCCTTATGTTACTGTGTCCATGCATATCTTCCATCCCGTGACAATGACCACTATTTTGATGACCCCATTGAACAATGAAAAGGTTGGCAGGATAAAGAGGCTGAATGAGATCCACAGAATGGATCATCTTATCCACTTGATTCTTTTTTTTATTAAATATAATTTATTGTCAAGTTGGTTTCCATACAACACCCAGTGCTCATCCCAACAAGTGCCCTCCTCCCTGACCATCACCCACTTTCCCCTCTCCCCCACCACCCATCTACCCTTAGTTTGTTCTCAGTCCTTAAGAGTCTCTTATGGTTTGCCTCCCTCCCTCTCTGTAACTTTTTTCCCCCTTTCCCTCCCCCATGGTCCTCTGCTAA